ATGTTAAAACAATCCGACAAATATAATTTTATTTGTGTTCAAGAGTTATTGTGGCTTGAATTTTATATTATAAACTACCACTACGTATCGGTATATGTAAATCTACTGATGGATGTTTAGTTTGTGATTGGACCCATTCAACCCAGGTGACCCGGTAGACTGACAGGTATTCCCAATAAGTTTAAGCCAATCGATGATGTTTTGTTTACATCGACTTACTAGGAATACCCGTCAGTCTACCCGGATCATCACTAATACCGATACTATTAAAGTTTTTAAAAGTTTTTAATCACTTTATTGAACGTTTTCCAAAGTCTAAAACTCTTGTGCTTAGCTCAACAAATCGTTGTGTTTATCTTTAAGAAAATGTTATTTTTTTCAAAGAGCTAACTAATTCTGACAACATAGTAATCATATTCTATATACACCTCAAGGATTGGGTTAGTTATTCTGCATAATGAATGTTGAACTTTTCTTTGCGAACCTCGTCTTTATTTTTTACTTATGAGATGTTACATTTTTAAAAAATACGTTAAACCAGATGATTCTCTATCTCACCACTTTGAATCATGCCTGATTTCTTAAAAAGATGCATACATGCATTCGATCACATCCTTTTTGGTCATGATTTATTTTGCTCGTGGCAATAGACAATGATAATATATATCCAAATAAGACAGAATTTAGTGATTCTTGAGATAAAAAAAGATTTTCTGAATCAAGAATTCGTACTGTATTGGGAACCACAATACTTTCGAGGTCAATCTTTGCACCTACGCAAAAAACAATTTGCTATTGGTTTAACACCTCATAGTGTAATCTACTAATTTTAAATTTTTGCATAGTAATGCAGCAATGCTTTTAGTTAAAAGTCATGTGACATTGCTGTGATACCGTTCTGGACTTAAGACATTGATTTATGGGCACCCTTAGACGGATTCACCGCACGAACCTAGTATACCCCTAAAAAAAAGTTACGAAACTGAGTTTAAATTTATATGCAGATTGAATTATACATACAATAATAATAATAATAATAATGATGTCAATTATTCATATATTGTATTTTTTAATAATCAAAATAATTTTTTTTACTTTCGTTCTAATGCTGTTGATTGTATTATACAATGTCAAGTGAAGTACTCAAGTACTGCAATAGTTGTTACTCGCATAAAAAACCTGAAAATTTTTCTAAAGAAAAAAGCTTCTGTAATAAATGCTTGGAACAGGCAAGAACAAATTCAAAATGGCGACAATATGAAGAAAAAAAATTTTTCAACTCTAAAGAAAATTATATACTTTCAAGTGATTTAACACAAGCAATATATGATTCTTTAATTTCAATACCAGAACTTGATGAAAATTTGGAGAATAATACTGGATTTTTTTTTGAATATTGTATTGATTTTACAGATCTTCAAGGAAGCGATTTATCTGAATCTTATATTGCAAATAAACTTATTGAAAATGTTCAAGCTGGTGATGGATATCATTATATCTATCATACCAAAATTGTATACAAAAAAATGGTCACAATTATTTACTGATATAACTGTCATACAGATACTGTTAAAAGACTGTAGAAACATTTGAATAAAGAAAAACAACATGATACACTACCAAGACTTAATAGATATAATTGCAATAATAATGTTTCTATTAAAGTTGATATTGAATGCAAGCTTGTAGTTATTAAAATAAATCATCAATTTTTACATATGCGATCAGAAAATATTGACAACACGAATGAAATAAAGGAGTATATCACAGACAATTTGAATTATATAGCATCTGAATTGTATAAAAAAATTGTAATAAATAAAATAAATAGGTTTAAAACATTAACCATGGATCAGGTCTATTATTGGTGATCGAAAACCAATATGATTCAGTATAAATAGGATGATAATGAATCTTTATCTACTTAACTTCTATTATAAGAAAAAGATTATTTATTTTTTTTTGTTTATTAGAGCCAATTGATTCATTTGTATTTTTAATACTGTTTTTTTCTTTTTTATCAAAAATGACATATGAATGTCTTTTAGTTGACTCTACTTACAACACAAACAAATCAAAATATGAACTCTATGTTTTAATAGTAACTATTAACTATACAGGATTTTTAGTTTCCTATCTTTATGTTGTTACCAATAAAAACCAAGATATGAGATTAATTTTAACAAAATGGTTTTTATATTTGTAAAATCATGATGTTGATAATATTAAAATATTTTTGTCATATAAGAACTTTGTATAGATTTCAAGTGCTCAGACTATATGAAAAGATGTTAATATACAACTTTATAAATAGTATATAAATCATGTCATTAAACAAAAACTTTTATCATTAAAAACATCAAATAATATTTCTTATAATGCAATCAAAATGAATTGTTAATGTATTTTTATAAATCTAACATGGACAAATATATAAAATATACAATTATCAAACCAAAAAACAAATTCTAAAGTTTTTTGTATACAATTTTATCATGATATAATTCTTGAACTTGTAGAAAAGTATTTACATCATAATATGCTATTATGAACTATAGATAATAGATTTATTGATGATTTACAACAAATTCAGGTATTTGTAATTAAAGAAATATTTGAGTTTTACTATACACATGACTTATTTGAGGTATGGTGTTACCTATAGAATGAATGGTACTATAATGATCATTGAGAGTTGTGGACTATATCTTCAAATTTAGAAATATCATTATTAGTAACAACAATGATTGTTGAATTGTATTAGAGGATTTTAAAACATAACTATTTGTACAAGTTCAATAGACTATGATTAGATCTTGTCTGCTTTATTCTTATCAATCAAATTATTTCTGAACAAATTCAATGATACAATCTTCTTATTAATAGTCAAAAATTATTATCATGACACATCAAAGCAAGTTATAAACAAGAACAAATATTTGATTGATTATAATTGTTGGATTTGTTCATGCTCTTTATTTTTAAAGAGTAGATTTTTTATTTGTAAGCATCTCATTACACCTGTTGGAATGATGGATAGTGATTTTTTTCATAAGGTATAAATTTATTTTTATTATAATTCAAATTTAATATATATATATATTAAATTAAAATTTAAATTTTAAAAGTATATCAAAATAAAACTTATTCATTTATATTCAAAACTGACTAAACAATTTGGAAGTTAATCAAAAAAGACAAAATGATAAGCAACCATTTTACAAACTTATAGAGTAAAAATATAGATCCAATTTTAGATAGTGAAATACATGCTGATAAGATGGACAATAAAACAAATTCTAGTAATGATGAAAATGTAGTTGAAATCATTGAACAGTTGTCAAAAATATTAAATCAAGTATATTTATATTTACTGTATTTATAACTTAATAATTTTAATGTAATACAAAATATTAATAAGATTTTATATAGATGGATACTTTTATTTCTAAATCATTTGAACTTTCTCAGCAAAAAAAATGATTAAAAAACATCGAATCAAATTTTAGACCAATTGAATGAATGGTTAATGACCTAAAAGGGTTTGAAAATGCAAACAAATCTAAAAAAACTTGGGCAGGAAGAAATAAAAATACATTTTATTGGGAATAAAATCTTGTTTTTTTTTATAATTACAAATAATGTAATAAATAATTCATACAAATAGTTTGTTAGCATAGCTAATACTGTACTCGTTAAAATGCATAGATTTATTTTGCAAAATTCATTGTAACGAAAGGATTAATATGTATATACTTTATTAAGGTTTTATATTCAAATTGTAGCATATGTAAATTTTCGACATAATTTTTCTACTATTCAATAAAGCGTAATAGAAAATATGTCCTATAATTCTTGTAATTTCAAAACGGAACTTTATGTTCGGAGAAATTTAAACTCAGTTTCGTAACTTTTTTTTAGGGGTATACTAGGGAGGTTGGATTCACCGGTTTAGCGGACAAATTGCAAAGAACCGAATTTTTAATAATGTATAATGGTCATAATATCTTTTAAGCCCAGATTTCTGTTATATAGATAGTTGGTTACAATTGATTCGTTATTACACGAGAAAAGAAAAGGTTTATAGAAAACGTTACATTGTGTAGTTATTAGACATTAAGCAACGAAAAGGTGATCATAAAATTAAAATACTTACGATCATGTATGGAAATAAATCTTTTATCATATGTATAGTATATCAGAATCATAATGAATGATCTCGAGACTTTTTTGACAATGTAGATTTTCAATATTAGTAAATCTTGAAGTATCGAGTTATTCGACTGTTTTAAGACATAGATATTCATATTTCGAAGTAAACTAGAATAAGTTTTTCTAGGCATTTATTTACAGGATGTGATATTACTAAAAAAAATTATAGCGCATCATTCATTTTAATCTCGTGTTCATTAAGTTTCTTTTTTATTTATCGTGCTGATGAAATGCGATACATCAATTCTTTTATTAATGAATAAAACGAGGCGAAGTAGTAATACTAAGGATGCTTCAATAAGGTGGTACATTTTCAATACGTTGTCGAAACCTTAGTACTTTGTTATTCATCCTTTTTATGAATCTTTCAAATTCGTTCAATACTTTAATATTGGTTCAATGCTAATTATTTTTTTGTGATACAAAATTAAAATTTTTGCGACAAATTGGAAGCATAAAACGTTCAATCGCCAATAAATAAAACGAGGTTGTCTTTACACTAATCAGATAGTTTTTAATTTAATTAATAATATTAGAGGGAACAAACATGATATAAATTGATGTGCTTAAAACGATATAATCTATAGAATTATCTAATATTTAAATATAGTATATATTTAAAGAAATGTGGTATATATATGTATATATAAATTTTTTTACATTTTTTAACCCAAAAAAAAATAAATATGATTAAATTAATTAACCCCAAAAGAAAGAGTAACATGAAACTGTAGTATATATTACTGAATAAAAACAAAAATCACTATATATTACTGAATAAAAATAAATCACATTATTAAACACCCACAATCTGTTTTTTCCATATCACCTGATCTGTCTCTTCTAAATGATCTCCGTTGAGTCGTTGTTTCTTTCTTTTCTTGATTTTTCTGGTACGATTTTTCTTGCGCAAAATCTGCGTCAATGTATTAACAAATTTTTTGACTTAATATTTAAGTTTGACATTTATTCGTTTCAAATTAAGTGGGAGAAAATATGTTCTTACCACCAATATCAAGATTCAGTGAAATAGAAGAAAAAGTTATTGGAATTTGATCGTTCGTATCACTTGATTCGAAATTAATTTGTTCTCTAAAGTCAACACTATTGGATTTTTCATCTTTTAAAAAGAAAAAGTGTATCAGTCAATATCCTTTCACAAATCATCATTTTTTCGTTCATGTTACCTTGTGAAGAATACAAGAAAGATGATGATGATTGCCTAAAATCCATTGTTGGTTTTTCATCTTAAAAAAAAGAAAAAAATCTGTTAAAAATTATTTTATAGTTGATATATACCTTACTAACATGCAAATTCCTCTGCTTTCTTACCTTTTTTTACACTTTTTATTGATTCGGGTTTCTTTTTAAGACTTAAATCCATGTTACTAATAGTAGATGTGTCTCCAAAGTTACCAAATACTGAATCAAATAAATCTTGTGTAAGTAAAGGTTTATTTACAGCATTTTTTTCAAAGTTTATATTAGATGTGATCGCGGTTCCTTTTTCGCTCATGTTTTCTTCGTATATTGTTGCTTAAAAAAATATTTGTTGATTATGATTATATATGAAACGATATATCAACTAAATGTAATCACTGTTTGTTAGGATTTAAGTGATTTTTTTTTTTAAAAAAAAAGAAAAAAAAAATTATAAAGTTGAAACTTTATTAACTTTATTGATTACAAAAAAAACGTTGTTTCCTAAAAAAGGGATAAATCAAAAAAAAAAAAACTCAATAGAATTATCTATTCTTCACGAATTTGTCTTTTCAACCGCGCTTTCGTGAAACAAATACATTTGACGTCCATCACCTTCCACTATTGCTCTTTGTGTTAAAGTCCTTACAGTTTTTAATAACCTTATATTGATCGATAGCGCGTTATTATGTAATGCGATACAAAATGTTGTGTACGTACGTATTAAATTTCAAAGTTTTGAACCAGTTAAATTTACTCTAGGTACTACAAAAAGTAGGTTAAATTTAATGATTGGAACATGAATTCATTTAAAGGCACTTCGCATGCATCCAACAACTATACCTAAAACCTTTAAATTTTCCGACTCCAATCATCAGCCTGCGAGGATCACTAATAGTTTAATAATAAGCACGTATGCACCTGCATACGACATCTACAAATAAAATTATATCGATCTACGTTCCGTCGTACGTATGTATGTGCTTGGAGTTGCCATCTGCTTAAAATTGCTACTTTAGGCCTGAGGTCGCACCTGACCAAAATTACTAATCACTTATTTAATTTCAAGGACTAACGCTAATCTCGGTCAACTGCGACAAGCAGACGCCTAAAATGGCAGACATAATGTATTAGATATTAAAAAAATATTTCATTTCAATCTTTATTCGTAATATTAGACAAACTCGCTCCCTTGATGTCTAGAGCATTACTAATCGGTTAAAGTGAGTACCGCCAAGCGAAAACATGGGCTTACCAGCTTCTAAAAAAAAAGTCATTTATGCATCATTTCGTCAATATATGTTTGGATGTTGATTGATTTAATGATCAATTTAATACATTGGTCATTATTATCGTCAATCTGCTAACAGTTTTTATGTAGGATACCGATTAAAAAATTTTTTTTCAGAGGTTGGTATTTATTTGGTCGAGGCTTGCGTTTGCGGCAGTCATGAGACTTATTGTTGTGTCCACTTTATTAGTACGATCACGCTTAGATCATGCGTTCAATGAAAATTCAAAAAAAAAAAAAAAAATACTGAAAATATTGACGTATTAGTGGTAGCAGGGGCAGTTACTAAAAATAAATTGATCGAATTGAAGCAACTGAGCTTATGCATACAAAAGCGGTTGCGATTTGGTTTAATAAGCTTGCGGTTTGACAGAACGTTGGCATAACGATAATAGTAACGGTATATCACAAGTAAATCGATTATATCATCCAATTCTCCAGGGCCTGGTAATTAGTGATATTAGTCGATTTGGCCTTAGTCGACTTAGTCAGCTAAGTCGATCGATTTTTTTAAAAGTCGATTATAAAAAAAAATCGATTATGTAAGTTATGTGAGATTTTATTAGCGTTAGTGTAATTTAAGTTGCACAGTACGTGCAGTAAATTCATGAATTACATATACCATATTCAGTTCTCCAAAGTATCCGGTATGACAAATAATATTGATCAATTTTTAAAATATTATTTATACATTGTGATGATTTTTTTCAATTGTAGAAAATTGCATCACACCGGGTACTTTGGAGAACGGAATACGGGTAGTAATAATGTGTAAAAAGCAAATAATTTATGAATTAAAATCTGGTATTGGTTCCTTCGGCATTGCTATGCCTTTTTTTAAAAGCATAATTCCCACGCTATCTATATACAACAACACACGATCATAATTTAGCATGATCTTTAATTTTCATAATGGTCGTGATTCTCATATTATGGTAATAATTATTGATTATTATCTTGAATAATTTATTATAAATCAGTATCGTAGAATTTGACGCATCAAACGCGGAGATTTTTAATCTGACCTAAAATGCATTAACCGCTTAACTGATAAATGATAAGATTTTTAATAAAAAAAAATTATAATATGTATGCATTGAAAAAGTAAAATCACTTCCTCATTCTAGTATGTACACATGTTATGCATTAAGTGTTGAAGAATTTGAGAAGCCCAGACTGTAAACTGTTCATACTACTATTATATAATATCAATAAAAAATAATAATTGAAATATTTAATTGTTCACATTACTAATAATCTCAGTTTTATTAAACTAAGCCATTATAAATATTACTAAATTTTAATAAAAGTAAACTAATTCTGCACTAACCTGATTCTTCAACCAATCATATAGCTCAATGCGCCTTTATAAAAATAAAACCTGATAAATGCTACGTTTGCTTATAAATAATATGACAAACTATTAAGAAATTTTAATTTAAATGCTAATAGATCTCAACATATTGCTAAAGCTAACACAATATTTATCATATATTTATAATATTATAAATCTTATTATTGTGCTTAGAAATAAGAAATAGATATAATGGGATGTGGCGACCTAGTGAAGTGGATAGGTTGTCAACTCCCAAGTGGCAGGTCTAGAGTTCAAATCCTAGTGATGGCAAAAATTTG